CATTCTGCACTAGCTGCAGCTTCCGGATCTGCCCCAAAGGCAGCCCCATGTAGAGAGCATTACAGTAGTCTAACCTTGAGGTGACCGTCGCATGGATCACTGTAGCCAGGTCATCACGGCTGAAGAAGGGAACCAACTGCCAAATCAGCCTAAGATGATAAAATGCCGATCTGGCAGTGGCTGCCACCTGGGCCGCCATAGTTAAGGAGGGGTCCAGGAGCACTCCCAAGCTCCTAACCTCCAACGCTGGCACCAACAACGCCCCATCGAAGGTCGGGAGAGGGAGCCCCAACCCCGGTCCGCTCCGACTCAGGCACAGGACCTCTGTCTTCGCTGGGTTTAGTTTCAGCTGGCTCAGCCTGAGCCACCCAGCCACGGCCTGTAGTGCCCGGTTCAGGTCTTCTGGGTCGGAGCCCGACCGGCTGCCCAACATCAGATAGAGCTGGGTGTCATCAGCATATTGATGGCAACCCAGCCCAAACCTCCTGGCAATCTGGGCGAGGGGGTGCATATAGATGTTAAACAACATCGGGGAAAGCACTGCCCCCTGAGGCACACCACATTCAAGTGGGCGCCTCCAGGACTGCTGTTCCCCTATCGCCACCCTCTGTCCTTGACCTTGGAGAAAAGAGGCAAGCCATTGAAGAGCGAGCACCTGTATCCCCACGTCGGCAAGGCGGTGAGTCAGCAACTGGTGGTCGACTGTGTCAAACGCAGCAAACAGATCTAACAACAACAGTGCCACCACACCGCCTTGATCCAGATGCCTCTGAAGGTCGTCAGTCAGGGCGACCAGCACTGTCTCCGTCCCATGACCTGGGCGAAAGCCGGACTGGAATGGATCCAGGACAGAAGCATCATCCAGAAAGCTCTGAAGCTGTGTCACCACCGCCCTCTCAATCAATTTGCCCAAATAGGGCAAATTGGACACCGGCCGATAGTTGGCAAATCCAGCCGGGTCCAAAGTTGCTTTTTTCAGGAGAGGACGGACCATCGCCTCCTTGAGTCCCTCAGGGAACCATCCCTCCAGGAGGGACTTATTGATAATCTCCCTTATGGCACCTTGAAACCCCTCATGGCCCGCTTTAATGAGCCAGGAAGGGCACAGATCAAGAGGGCACGTGGTTGGGCGCACAGATATGAGCAGTCTGTCAACTTCCTCCAGACTGAGTGGGTCAAAACATTCTAAACCCTGTGAAGGCGTGCAAGGGGCCTCAAGTTCTCTCACTGTTTCAATTGTGGCAGGGAGGTCACGGCGGAGCATCAAGACTTTATCTGCGAAATAGCTCGCAAAAGCCTCACAGCCAATATCCAATTCCCTACTGTTTTGTCTGCCATGGGGCAGAGCTGTCGAAGACTGAATTGTTCTAAATAATTATAGCTGTATCAGTGGCCAAAGTCACTTCTTACCCTGTTTTCTGATGCTAATGGTTCAGTTTGAGACTGGACCATACATAAACAGCTCTGCATCACAGTAATAAGGTAAGAACTGGTTCTAAATTATCTATTTTGACAAGAAAATACTGTATCAGTTTTCTGATGAGTGCTGGCCTTGCCATGTGTGTTCATTACCAGTCTGCTGCTGCTGTGTGTTTGGTTTTGGGTTTTTTAATCCATAATTTAAGTCAAAGCACATTGTTTGCATTAACATTCAGGAGATCTGGGATGCAGATGTTGTGCTCTCTTTGTGTTATTCAACTAGTCCTGGGCCCCTGAGCACTGAGATAATCATTGAAACTCTGTGGAACATATCGGCCTTAGCAGATCAAGTGCATAGCACTTCACACAGAATGACTCCATAAACCTTTTTATTGTGCTGTAGCTACAGGCAGGAATTATAATTGGACCACCTGAGAATGTTATTCATTCAACTATTACTTTTTTTAACTCAAACATTTGTTGTTAAATGTATACTTTTTTTAAAAAATGAACTGAGAAAATAAGGTATAGAGGGCAGAGTATATAAAACTGACTGGACTGTTAGTTGCAAATACAGGAAGGGTGGTTGGTGTGTAAAAGGCCTACAGCCCAAAGGAAATTTGAATGTTGGATTTGGGACATAAGTCTCTGGATGTAGAAAACTAAATTTATTTGATGCCTTTCAGTATGCAAAGAGGTCACCAGTACTATATGGTGATGATCAGGAGAGTTTAGAATCCTTGTTTGTTGGAAGAAACAAATTTCAGTTTGAGCAGGTGCCTGCATTCAGCCCTCACAGCAAATTAAGAGTTTGACTCAAGGCTCCTCAAACAAGGAAGCTTTCCGTTGTGCTTCCTGTACAAGGAGAGTAGGGAAAGAGGTCACAGCAGGCTGTCTTTGTGTCCATCATAGGCATACTGAAATTGGTGACAGCTGAATGCAGCCAAAATCATTTTTGTCAAAGGAAAGATGGTCTGGGGGATTCCAGGTGGCCAGAAATCAGCAGTGGTAGTTAACCATAGTATTTTTTAGCATTTCACAGACTTAAAGTTAGGTTTCTTCAGAATATAGCTGAAACCCTCTAATTTGAGTTGCTTTCCACATTTAGGGTTTCTTGCATGGAAAGCAGTTATAATTGATTAAACCAGAGGTGTCAAACTCATTTGTTACGAGGGCCAGATCTGACATAAATGTCACTTTGTTGGGCCGGGCCATGTGTGCTGTAAAATGTAATGCTAGGTATAAATTTTGTAAAGGATGCAGGCAAACCCAATTAACAATATTATTTTTTTACTCAAAATACAAATAAAAGCATTGATTTCTAGCAGTGAAAGCAATTGATTTACTGGGGAACCCAGAAAAGTCCCAATAAATGTATTTAATCATATGCAAGACTATGTTTTTTCCAAGGAATTACATAAAGGGGGGGTGCCTTACATTTCTATACATGCGAATTGCTTGCGAGCTGGTAAGAGCCCCGGCCGGGCCACTTCTGGCCCCAGGGCCTTATGTTTGACACCCCTGGATTAAACATTATATAGGTTTTCATCTATGATGATTGTGCATAGATTTCACTCCATGTATGCAGCGTGTCCCTACCTATATTTATTAAAATATTTACATCCCAACATTCCTGGTGGTGGTAGAAGGAGGAGGGGGAGGTCTCAGAGCGGCTTACAAACCCCTTTCCCTTCCCCTCCCCACAACAGACACCCCGTGAGGTAGGTGGGGCTGAGAGCTCTGACAGAAACTGCTCTTTTTCAAGAACAGCTGTGCCAGAACTATGGCTTGCCCAAGGTCATCCAACAGGTGCAAGTGGAGGAGTGGGGAATCAAACTCGGTTCTCCCAGATTAGAGTCTGCACACTTAACCACTACACCAAACTGGCAGGTTGATACCATTTCTTGGTACCATAACATATAATATAAGAGAGCCATGATAGTGTAGTAAGTAGAGCGTCGAACTGGGATTTGGGTGGCCTTGGGTCAGTCATAAATTCTTGGCCTAATCTACTAGTAAATATAAGACCTGATAGATGGAATACTGTAATTAAAATTATATTAGACGATGCATTGGGAAAAAAATAATTTCCATTGGGAAATAGTCCAGAAAATCCAAGCTATTTAGTATTAAAATGATAATGGATTAACATGACATGATATGCACTTCTTCCTATTAGTATATCAGGAAAAATCGTTACTCTTTTTCCTCTCCAGTGGTTTTACTTTTGTTAATATTAATTTTGGTTTCTATCATATTTGAGCACTTTACACTTTTTAAATTCATACTGAGAATTTACATAGCACTTTTCCTACAGCAGAACATGGTTTATTTACATTACCACAGTAATTCTTGCGTTGACTGTATTACCATGCCAGGTATGGAGTGGTTGGGCTAGAGCCCCCCGGGGCTACTTTCCTCTGAGCAACATTTCTGGTCAGTATTTAAAATGTGGCTTACTGATGTGTGTCACCTACTCTGAAGGACTTGTACCATTACAGATTTCATTCTGATTTATTAAAAGGCCATTGCTATTTTCAAGGCACCTTCAGTGTTGCTGTAATGTAGTTGTTTACAAAAGTGTTTAGAACTTGCAGGGTCTATGCATACTTGGAATAGAAGTAAAACACATTTTCTATACAAGTTGCTCTTCAGTTGACAAATCTCCCAATGAAGATTGAGTGTTTCTATTATCAAAGCAGAAGAACTGTAGATTAAACCCGTCATTTATCCCTGTCATAAAATGCAATCACTGTTCATTCTCTGCACTGCCTAGCACAATTGCTTCAGTTGGGGGCTGGAACAGGGTGATAGTGGATAGATATTTAAGAAGCATTTGTTGTGTGTAAAAATGTTTCTTCCAAGAAGGATTTCAAGGAAAGGAAATACTTGCAGCAAGAACAGAAAGTTGTTACTGTGGTTATTGGGCTTGTTATCTCATATTAGTTGAACATTGGGCACAAAAAAGGAAGTACAAAGTAAGCAGTTGTAACACTGGCATGCTGTCAGATTAGGTTGCTGACTATTTAAATTAAATATTGATGTATTTTTAAATGTTCAATAAGGATTCCAAAGAAAGCTACCTAAAAGTTGCAGTTCTTAGGTTAATCTTTTATTTATCTAAAGAATGATGGAAGTTGTCTGCTTCTATGATATGAACTACAATCAGCTTAAAAATAATTGACAAATTAATCCCCTCACAGCGCAGCAGTTGTAAAGGTGTTAGGTTTAATTAGGCCTGGCTGGTTGCTTTGTGTGATCAAGGAATAAAGGTGGTATCTCTGGCTAAGGTCTAGCAGGGATATTCCTGACCTGCTGGGCTTGTACATTTTAATTATTGATTTCCACCATGTCAGCTGTTGCCCAAGTAGGACCTTAATTCTCAGTTAGTTATCACTGAACGATGAAAACAAAACTCCCCTCCCCCCACCATCTTGCGAATATGGTTGTAAAGACCTTTTAACCAATAAATGTCTTATTGCTAACATCCAAATGAACTATCCCACTTTCCACTCACATACTGATGTGTTTTGTGTTTTGTTTAAAGGCATGTGAGTGACATATTATGTCTTTGCTTGTAGGTGAATGAAGTGACTGTAGAACAACTAGTGCAGCAGCACCCGCACATAACCTTCAGTACTGTACTACAAGACTGCAAGAGGACCTTGGAACGGGCATACCAGATGGGTTGGACACCCAACATGTCCACTGCCTCTTAACTCGTTCCATGATATTAAAGAGATAATTTCTGCAGTCAGCAGATTTGGACTGAACATTTGAAATTTGTTAAGGTTTTTATTAATATTTTTGCTTTTTATGACATACATATTCAGTTTTAGTATAAAGCTATATATATATATAGTGGGAAGTTTATGTTTTGTCCACTAATGGAAAAGTTGGAAGAGAAATATAGTCAAATATATTTAATTGTTCTGAACGTTTAATTGTCAACCTAAACCTCTGCGGGTCTCTAAGCGGTTACTGCGGTTTTTCATGATGCAATATACATTTAAGTTTACATAAAAAGGAAACACTATTTGTTTTCTCTTACCTATGTGTTCATGTTCGAAACAGCCCTTTAGAAGCCTTCTACTTTTTCTGTATGCATAAATCCAATGGTAAAAGCGTTTGGCAACTTCCTTGAAGTGGGTTCCTACTAGTTCTGTGGGTAGTTTCAGCAATGTGATATGTTGCTTCTTTTTCTTTTTTTCCATTGCTTTGGCTGTTCATATTGGTTTGTAAGTAACTGCTTTTCCTCTGCTTAAAGTAGACACTAGGCTTAATTATAAAACTAATTATCTATCGAAGCTACCCACATGTGTGTGTTTTGAGTTGTACAGTTCTGAAATCTCAAATAACTGTGTTTTAAAAATATAATGTTTTGATAATCACAAGTTGTTATTTTGAATAGAATCCTTAATAAATAATGAACATGGAATAATTATTTAAGTGGACAATCCTACTGATTTTTATTAGTGCTACCAAAGTGATATTTTTGCCTTGTTGTCACTTCATATCTTGTGTGTTTCCCATTAGTTTTACAGAAGTTTTGGAAATAGATATTTTAAAAATTTTTTACAAATTATTCCCTTGACTAGATTTTGCCATATTCATTCCTTCCAATTAGTATAACATTTCAACTAAGAATGCTTTTGATTTCATTTTCCGCATTTTTTTCTAACATTAGAGTGTAAAATTGCTTGTGTGAAAAACAATGGGTCAGGTCCAATACTCTCTCTAAGCTGTGGAGACTTGTGAGCAATTTGGCTACTGCATAAATCAATTTGCTCTGGAGCCTCCTTCCTGAGCGAAGACAAAGATGTGTGAGCCGGAGGCTAAAAAACTGTGAGCTAGCTCACACTAACTCAGGTTAGAGGGAACACTGGTCAGGTCCTATGAACGAGATCTTCACCTCTTTACTCTTCCTGCAGCAGTCCCCTGTTAGGTCTGAGAAGCCAGTGCTGAGAACAGGGGGACCTGATGGACAAAATGCCATGAGGAGAGAGGAGAAGGAATCAGGCAACCACGTGCTCTGCTAGCTTGAAAGGGAGGAAATGATTTAGGCCTATTCCCTTCCCTTCTGAACCCCCATGCCACACATTATTTTGATCATAATTGTCCCACAACCTCCAGCATTGGCTTTTTAGAAGTCACAGTGGAAGGAGAAAGGAGAATGCAAAACAAATTTGTTTGGACTCATGAGGTTAAATCCAGCCAGTTTTTTCAGTCAGTCTCACCTAGTTCCCCTCCTTATCACAGCTCCCATTCCACGTAGCTGTGAAAGACTATGCTGGGCTCCAGAGCCTTTTTGGTACCTCCTCATTACCCTTTTTGAGGGAAATGCTGGCTGGACTCAACCCATGGTTTGTAGGTTCCAACCCAGTGGCCTGAATTCAGAGTGCCACAGCATGAATAGAATACATTTCTATTTGTACTCTGGGAGAATAATCACTGATTATTGCCAATTCCCACTTTCTCTGTAGTCAGATATCACAATTAGTTCCCACAGTTTTCCCTAGAGTTCCTCAAACCTCAGTAGTGGTTTTTAGGGTGCACAAGGCTGTTGCCCCCATGCTACTGATTAAAATACCTTTCCCCTGCTAAATTCCTCCATGCAATCACATGTGCAAGCTGACAACGGCATAAAGATAACTTACTGAAAATTTGGTGATACACAGTAGCCATTTCCCTTATTTCATTTGCAGTTTTCCAGAAGATACTTCTTTTTAACCATTTTTCATCCAATTCCCAACGTTCTGGTTCACCATGTTTATGTTAACCTTTCTGCATGGTCAGGTACCTGCATCCCCATACATTTGATTGAATGTATCAGAGTAAACTGACTACCAACTTCTGAATTAAAGCACAGAAAATTGTAAGGTATTGTTAGCTAAACAAGGACATGGCTGACACAGACTGAATCCCATGTTGTAGTTTCCTACGAATTAGAACCTTAAGTCACAGTACCTTCTTTGTGGAATCATTGTTTTATTTTGAATATGCATACCTGCTAGGGAGGGGCAAGGCTTCCACATTCCTTTGAATTGTACTGCATGCTTTCCATATTTGTATCCTAGCCAATGACGTCTACTGTCACACAAACGAATTTATAGAATGAATATGTGCAGAAAATTACTTGGAGGTATTAATGAAAAGAATAGTTTATGGGTCAAATTGTATTATGAAGGGTTAAAATTGAGAATATGTGACAAGCAGACACTGGAAGTACAGAACAAGACAGGAAGTAACCTTTAGAATGTAACAATTTGATAAAGGGTGGGTTTTTTAGGTGTATAACACTGTGTATTTGTTTTTAAAGGTTAATGTGTTTTAATCCAAAATATCAAACGTTCAGGCTTGACCTGAAGAGTTGCCATTATTGTCAAAATGTTAGGCTAATATAGAAGACTTCAGGCAGCCTGACTTGAAAACAGCATTAGTATGTTTATATAAGCCACATGTCCAGTCTCACAGCATCAGCTCCTGACCATGACAGAAATGGCTTGCTGTGTCATTTCAGTGACAGTTTTTTGAAAGTTTTCTTATTAGGTATTTCAAATTGAGACTAAAAGCCTTTGCAAAAGAAAACTATAAAATGGATTTTGCTTGGCATGCCATAAATACAGGTGAATGCATACAATGCAGGGCTTTTTAGCCATTCAAACGATGGCAGTATTTTCTCAAATAAAGCAAGGAATGGAAAGCCTGGTCATTTGTCACTTTCAAGAATGCATCAATTTCCATAATTTTCTGTATACATTTTGACCTTGCAGTCGGTTACAGTAATATAGCAAAGCATACCATGGAAACTTTCAGTTTCCTAGAATACATTGTTCTCATTCCCTTATGTTTCTTTAGAGCTTAGGAGTTCTTTGAAGCTGGAGGTTCTTCTGAGAGTATATATTCTTAACCTGGCTCCCCAGGTGTAACTGTAGAGGTGAATTAGAACAGTGTGTTGTTGCTCTGTGTGTAAAGTGTCGTCCAGTCACAGCCAAATTACGGCAATCCCCCAGGGTTTTCAAAGCAAGGTAGCAAGCAGAGGTGATTTGCCATTGCCTTCCTCTGCAAAGTCTTCTTTGGTGGTCTCCCAACCAAGTGCAAACCCTGCTTAGCTTCCAAGATCTGATAAGATCAGCCTGTACTTTACCATTCAACATCCCTGTTACTCTAAACCAACTAAATCATATAGTAAATAGGTAACTGCCAACACCTGTTGGATTATTTACCTTAGAGCAACAGAACTCTTAAGAATATTAATTGATAGTTGTTACTTCAGTTTAGAGATGTATTCTTTGATTATACATTTTAAATCTCCTAACCTTTATGTCTCTAGTTACTTGCAAAGAACTATAGAACTCATTCCCACTTATTTAACCAAATGACAGTTAGGTAAAAAAAACTCCACTCAGTTTTCTCTGGGAGATGCTGCTGTTGTTCTCTCTGAACAGAAGTTATTCTTCCTTTCAGCTGGAAAACATTTTACATTGACTATTACATGTTTATTTTGGTCACTATTACATGTTTATTTTGGTCACATGGCCTGCTCATTGGCCTACCTCCTTAGTTGACATCTGTCAAACAAGGTTGTACTTACCTGTAAATGTTGTTCATTGAGTAGTCTTCTGTGCAGGCACACGTGGAGACCATGCATATGCAGGCCAGCTGTGGAGATGGATTTCTAAAGCTTTCTAGGTCTTTCCATAGCTCTCAGAGCATTCTTCCTCTGCAATGTGCTGGTGTTTTCTGCCCAAACCAGCACCTGACAGGAGTGGGAAATGAAGGGAGCAGGGATAAGAGGAAGGGATGTGTGCCTGCACAGAAGACCACTCGGTGAAGACTATTACTCTACCCAGAAAAGCCACTGAAGAAGATTGTGCACTCGACGAATGTGTTTTGATCAGAAAAGCACACTCTACTTTTGCCTGAGAATACGCAAAATTTTAATCTCAGAAACCCCTCCCAGCAGGAGAGAATCTGGGCAGAAACAGCATATCCCTTTTGGGGACTTGAAAACATACAAGCAGATTGTAAATTTAAAAAACCCTAAGATCAAGCATGTGTAATGTGTGTTCCTTCTGACAGGTGGGAGGGAGGAAATATGGGGAGAACAACGTCATGAGACACGTGGAAACTGGATACCAATTTAGGGAGAAAGTCCAAACTTGGATGCAGGACTACCTTATGAAATCTGGTAAAAGGGCAAACATTGTACAGCCCTCAGTTCCCCAATCCTGTGTGCTGATGTGATGGCAAGCAGAAAGGCAGTCTTATAAGACAAAAAAGACAAATCACATGTTGCCATCAGCACAAAGGTTTTATACATCAGAGTAAATGTAAAGGTAAAGGTTCCCTTGCTTGAAAGCCAGTCGAGTCCAACTCTAGGGTTGTGGTGCTCATCTCCGTTTCAAAGCCGAAGAGCCAGCGCTGTCCGAAGATGTTTCCGCGGTCATGTGGCTGGCATGACTAAACACCAAGGCACACGGAACGCTGTTACCTTCCCACTGAAGTGGTACCTCTTTATCTACTTGCAATTTCTTGCTTTTGAACCGCTAGGTTGGCAGGAGCTGGAACTAGAGACGGGAGCTCACTCCGTCATGCGGCAACTCGGGTCTTGAACTGCTGAACTACTGACCTTCCACAGCCTGCAGTTCAGCATCTTAACCACTTGAGCATTAATTAAGCATTCCTAGGACTAAGCTTACTGAGTACCCATGGTGAT